AGAAGCCTGCAAAGGCAAAGTGGGAAGTATGTCAGAATTCAGAGAAACTAAATAGCTATTATTCGTCAATACGTTTTTAACTGCAGTAGGTTAAGTAGAATCTGAGAACATAAACTAACTCCATGATCATCTGGCAAAAATGCAGAACTAAAACACATAAGCTACAATTCAGATATCTCAAGAGCTTAGTGATCTAACATTATTAAAAAAAGATCTGAACTTTCACCCAGTTTTCTGTGCTGTACTTACAGGACAGAAAGCTTTTAGTACAAAATCTCTAACATTTTATTGTTGCACATTTGTCACTTTACATACAAATATCATCATCATCTGAGAGTTCCTGAGAGTTTTGAAACATTAGCAGAACTGAAGAAAGAAATTATCTGTGTATTGAAAGAATGGCTGTTAGGAGTAACAGTGTGAGCTCCCCACAGTGCCCTAACAATATGGTTTAACTTTTCTGTTTAGACCAGTGATCTCCAAACTTTTTTGATCATGCATCCCCTAAAAGTTTTTTTAGCATGCACCCCAAAATACATCTATGTATAAGTTATCTGCAGGTACTACTGTACTAATATATTATGCACTTCATAAAACACCAACAAAACCAGAAACTTTTAAAGGTTGAGATAAAGATTAAACTGATTTAAAAAAAAAAAATATTAATTCCATAAAAAATATTTTCTTACTGCACCCCAATGGACTGCTGTGTGTATGCCACTGGGTACTCACACCCCATTTTGGATATCACTGGTTTAGACAGCCACCAAAAATATCCTGAATCATTCCCACAAAACCATTCCTTTTGCTCTGGTTTGAACTAGATGATAGTTGTTGAAAATTCTCTGTATTTCATTGCCAATGCCACGAGATTTCAAGAAAATCATTACTTAGAAAATGTCTTTTTCAGCAGTATCACACCCTAGTCACTTCACATTTATGGACCACATACTGCTAAGAAAATAGAAAAGAACTCGAATGTTACCATTTCATATAATTTTCAATATCACAGAACAGTTCCAGTATTACTTATGGCTCGCCCTACATTAAGTTATTTCCTTCTTTTAGAGGATAGAATGTGCTAATTTTTGTTCAGAACTTTCTGTTTTTCCTTGTTTATGCCTCCAAGGCTGCTATCATCCAAATTATCTCCTCAACCAGGAGGGAGGGTTTTGAGTGAGACAAAATTGATCCAAACTTTCTAAGCACTTCTTTTTTTAGCAAGATGAACTAGTCATGAGTGACAAATGTATGAATGTCATTATCCAAGCAACATAATTGTTCTTTCCTGGAACCCTCTGCAATTAATCTTCTTCTAACAGGCGAAGCCATCTGGCAACACTCCTTGACAAATTTCAGCACTGTCAGGGTGAGTTATTAGGCGACTCATGATTCAGGGTGTTTCAGGCAAAGTTATTCCACCGAGCACTCTGTCCATTCTGGCATTCTGGCTGTACCCTCTCTATCAGCTTATTAGTTGAATGCCAGTTTCTCTACACAACAGAAAATGAAAGGAAAAACTATGGAGGGCTGCAAAAACAAAGTATTTTTTTTCTGAAACTAACTCTAACAAGAGATCCTGAAATAGTGATAAACACAGAATAAACTCATGTTACATCTAAATATAAAAACATAAATACTTAAGAATAAACGTTTGAGAATTTTTAAAGTATTTAGAATGATCAGTGTTTAACCTGGAGATCAGCTGAGTCCTGGACAGCGAAAGACATCTGGCTGGAGCGGACGCTATTGGTTTTGACAACTGCCAGAGCCAAGGAAGGGGAGGCAAAAGCAGCAGACGTTGCTGAGAAGTTCAGTTTGAAGCCAATATAATCCACCAGTTTTATAATTCTGTTAAGAAAAAGAGGTACTTAGTATTACCAAGCATATAGACTCATAATTCTCAGTCAAGTTGTGGTTATGGAGCAGCAATCCAAGCATAGTGTCAAATACAACCAACCGCCCACTGTTTTCTGCGTCATTATATTATAGTAGAGCTGGTAACACTAGAATGACACTCCTTCTGTTTTATATATTAAAGAACAAGACATATTCTTTTGGAGTATGATTATGAAAAAAACGAAGTTGCTGAAGTCAATTTATCAAGACAATTAATACAACACACCTTTAATCTATTGACAGAATGACCCACCTGTTAGAAATTCGGGGTGGTAATGGTTGAGCAGCAGTCAGGACTTTGCTAACCTCACTAACCATCCTTTCTACATCTTTTGGCTCTATTTTTCCAGCTGCTACATCATTTTCTATTTTGGACACAATTTGCTCAGCTGTGGTGATACTAATGGTGGTATACACAGAAGTTGTGTATGTGGTATCTGACAGTATCTTTCCTGTGACAAAATAAAAGATGTGCATTTATTTAAACATTGTGTTCAACAAATGAAGTAAGCTTTGAGAAGCAAAAAAATTAAGCGGTTCTCTTGACCAAAACACCTTATCACGGCTTCTAAGATCTCCCAACATCTTATGTGAGACAGAATCCCTTTTTTCTCCCTTTCAGCTACTCTGCAGATAGCAATACTTTAATTTCCTTCATAGGAAAACACATAGCCACTAAGAATATTCCTAACCAATAACAGTATTTTAACAACATTGATTTGCAGTATTTTAAATATTAGCTTAGTAAAAAAAAAAAAAAAATCTACCTGGATGTGTGACAATTTTTTCTGCTAAAGGTACCTATTGGGAACTTAGCACAGTTCCTATCTACCACAGCTACCAACTAGTTTGTAGGGTAAAGTGTCACTCATCTTGGCCAAAGGCATCAGAGTGTATTTTAAACTAAGTATATACCTTGTGACAATTGTCTCAGGTTTTTCACAGTAACTGGAAGGTCATATCTCATATATATAATCTTGTTTAATAAAGTTTAAAAGCAAATTCAGTATATGGCATTCAAATTCACAGAAATTAAATAAAAACAACCTTTTTTTTTTGTCATATTTACCTGTGCTCCCACTAGGCAGGCTACCATGACCATCAGCAGTAGAGTAAGGATGAGAAGCTGAGACAGAATGGTTCACAGGACTAACAGTAGGGGTTAAAGTTATTGTGAAAGGAGTAAGAGGAATAATAGGTGGGGTAGCAACTTTATTCTTTTTAGGTTGGGTTGAATCTGTAGCACCATGAATTTGTGCAATAGGTCTGGTGGTAATCTCAAAGGAGGTAACTGCTATTGAAGGTTTGGGGGGAAGCTCAGAATAGGAAGCTGCAGAATGTTTAGTGAAACCTACAGAAGGAGAAACTATAGTAATCGGCTTGCTAAGATACGCAGCATCAGATTTAACTGAGAAAGCAGCACTAGTGACAGTTTTCGTTGCAGGTGTGGAAATAGTGACAGACTTATTAGAAGCTATGGAAGGAAAAGTTGACGTGGTAGGTTGAGCAAGAGGCTCAGAAGAGGAAAGCGTAGTGCTGACACTAGTGGAAGACACAGAGGTTTCAGTAGTAGATGTGTCAGAAGTTTCAGAGAGAGGGTTTGTAGTGGGAGATGTGGGGAGAGCTCCAGAAGAAGTTGTTTCTGTGAATGGTGGGATCAGTGGTCTAACTGTGGGGCTTTGTTTGGCAGAAAGCATAGTGGGGGAAATAAAAGCATTAGATCTGGAGAATATCTTTCTAGAGAGAGAAGGAGAATGAAGGAAAGGAACCCATATAGAATACGGTGGCACTTGTATAGTACTGTAAAAAAAAAGGCATAGAAATGCATGTTAAATTTAACATTGTTTATATTTTAAAGAAAACAAGTTATAATAGCAGACTATATATGTAAATGACATGGACATGCTACTAATAATGTATATTTTAAAATCAATGTGATTGGATATTTCATGCTTGAGTAACAAATACTAATTTCGTAACATTTTGAGGGTTCTTACATTCAGTTTTGCTGTAGTTAACTAACAAGCCCATAAACACTACTACTGTCTTTGCTGCCTATTCTGGAGATGACCTGATGCTGAACACAAAAGCTGTCTGCATCAGGAAAGGGGAAAAGAAAAATAAACAAAACCAAAACAACAAACCAAGAGGGAGAAAAGGAAGGGGGAGGGAGCTATAAAGCTATACAGGGAAATGTCTGTCAGGTTATTCTTGTGGAGTCTTTCCCATCTATTACACTGCAACAGGGAAGCTGACTTTTAATGCATTATTATAATTTATATTATTATAATGCATATTTAGGAAATAAGCAAGTCAAATTTTGTAATTATACTTACTACACTTGTAATTCTTCAGCCGTCAAAGAACAATACTCTGGTGATGAACAGCAACACCGTTCTGCAATGACAAAGAACCATTAACCTAGTTTATCCTGAAGTATAAAAATTGTTAATAATGTTAAGTAGGATATTCAAATAAGCACATTTTTATGTTTTTTAGACAATAGTGTATCTTGCATAAATGATTTTTAGGGTTGTTTTCCAAAATGACATTTGCAAGACAGATCATGACCAGTCAGAATATTGCAGGATCCACAGATTTTTGCTCAATGCCTGACAAGTAGATTTCTCTTTTTATTATTGTAAACAAACAAAAATGTAAAGCTACATCTTCTGAAACAGGGACAAACGGCTTGAGTCACTACCCCATACCATCACAATATCACTAAGAAAGCTTGGCTACATTATAAACCCTTCAATTCAGCTCGCCATTTCAGTGAAACATTTACTTTCTCAAGCAATTTTACATATAATCCTTTCAAAGTCTGCTTTATTAACTTAGTCGGCAATTTTATATCAAAGCTTTTTTTAAACACATTTCTATCTTTCCCTTCCCCACACAAAACCCAGAAGGCTGCACTTTTTATATATTTATATTGCTCTTTTACCCACTTGGAAGCCATAGGTAAAGACAGGAATTTTAATCTGAAAGTGTAACTGTGATGAGACTGTGTTTAAAGAACAACTCACCAAGTTGGCTTATTTCTGCTTTTTCTGTTAAACTGCTTATATTCTCTCTCTCAGCCAGCCTGATTATGAAATTGCAGTATATACTATAATGAAAAGAAAAAGCTTTAGATTCAAGAAACAGCTCTCCCTCATCTGTACAACAAACAAAACTAACATCAAATGCTAAGTGAAAGCACGTTAGCACAAATGCTAAGTGTGACAGCACACTCTTCCTAAGCTCTTTCAGGTCTGGAGACAATTTTTAATATTTTCAATGCACATAAACTACTATGCCAGGCTAAATAGAAGAGTAATTAATCAGTTTGTGGCACCTTATTTTCTCTTTTCTCTACAGACAGACACTATTGATCCTTAAATGGGACCCTCCTTAATGTTAGTCATTAAAGTGTTGATAATTTTGTGAAAATAATAACGTAACCCCCACTGTTACTGTAAAGAAACTCCAGAGTGGAATTAGCAAGTGTCCTAGGTGGCTATGTCAATGTACATGAAACCTCCATCAACTGTGGAAAGTCAGTGTTCTCTCTCTTAACTTTAGAGAGAACTTAAATGACCCACTTTAAGCATGCAACCACACATTTACAATTATGATTCTATGACTTGAAACACTGCCTAAACTAGCAAACCTATAGTAAGGATTTTTCATGTTCAGCAAACTGAAAACACACAGGTGAATGAAAAGGCAACACATTAAAGATGAAGTGCAGCTTCTTTCCAGCTAACAAGAATGAAAAGAGTACCCAAACTGCTGCCAGTATATGACATCAAGGTGTGATCTGACTTTCTACTACTGTTTGAGCGTCTTGGACTTTTCTTTCGTCCTAACCCAGGAAGATAAAGCCCAAATTCAAGTATGTGGGGAAATGAAGTTCCACAGTTTCTTTCAGAATACAGTGTTTCCAGGCTGAGCAGTCTAGCAGTGAGTAGAATTAATTTGACAGACATTACCCACAATTCAGAGTTCCCAGGATCACCTGTATGGAGCAACCTTACCATTCTAATACCCACGGCTTCCAAACTCTGAACTGGTTACCTCTCAGGCTTCCCCTACCCCAAGGATGGCTGGTTTCCCAAGCCAAAGAATGGCAACTTGGGATGTCTGAAGCAATTCACTCATAAAGATTGTATTGTATGAACAAGGTCTGCAAGTTTGGTGGTCCCAAAACCCATAGCCTTAGTGATCAAATTGGTATGTGACTCAGCCAATACAAAGATGCAGAAGAATTGGCTGGCAAGCCAATGCTTCACCAGAAGACTAATGAGAAGCAATACAGTTTAGTTAAAAAAAAAAAAAAAGAATCACAAATGTTGGGAGAACAATGGGATTAGAATTTATCACCCTACATATATATCTCCAGCCTGTTTCTCAAACTTGATTTCCTAGGAAGCGTGGTTTTTGTTCTGTTACATAGTCATTCATACTTGATATATCACAAGACAATATGTGAGTTTTTAAATATATGAGCATTTAAAAAAATGAGCAACAAACCTTTGGTTTTCTGCACTGCATTCCATAACAGAGGACTGTAATGACAAGTGAAAATAGAAAAAAAAAATTGCTTTGTCAGGAGAAAATAGGACTTAGACAATGACATTATCAGAAGTAAGTTGGAAAAAAGTTCTCTAAACATAACAACAATTAGCAATCTTACCTCACTTACTGCTTGCAAGGTTTTGTTGAACTCTGAAATTCTTTAAAATAAAAAGTTTTCATTATAGAGGATTTTCAGCCATGTTTCTAAAGACAATTATAACAATATAATGAAAACAACAAGCAATTGCTGAGAAAAAAATAATTTCTAATTGATCATTTTTAAAAATCATACCAGTTCTAACATTGTAAAGCCACATCTCAATGAATTAAATATTTTGAAAGTTGCTCTTTATTATGCACACAACAAAATAAGTTTAAGCTTCTGTCATCACACATTTTAACATCAATCCAATTCTTTAGAACTTATTTAAAATAGCAAATGAAAAATCTTTATGTTGCCCTCTGGTAAGTAAGCATTTGGACCAGAGCTCTAAATTTATACACAAAGTCACAGAAATAGAATGAGTAAGAAATGTAGATTTCTTCTACAAACAATACCTGTTAGGTGATTACATAATTTTGACTTTCAGGGTAACTTTTTGGAATAGCAGTAAATATTTATAGAATCATAGAATATTAGTAATTTGGGCGAAGTGATTAGTCTCTGTCAGATCACTCATTCAAACCTCTACTTATAAAGTCTGTGAAAGAAGGAATTACACCATAATGAAAATATAGATATAGCTCCAAGAATACATGTTATAAACCATGCAGCTATGAATGTTCTCTTAGTAATTTCCTACGAGAGAGACTAAATCCCTGAAATTATAAAACCCATTTATCCATGCAGAGCACTAGCCAGACAGGCATTCTCAACAATCCACAGCTCATGTCTTCAGGTATTATTATTATCACTATTTATTACTTTTATTGCTATTACTAGTATTAAGGTCATCAGCATATAAATAAAGCCTTCAGGCCTTCAGCCCTAGGGAAACTGAAGGATCTCAGGAAGGAAATCAGCAAGTGTATCATTTCTTAAAACAAACTCTGATGGTATATAAAACAAAACTAAGATTATTCTAACTAATATGAATTTCGTGTTAAATAATTTTTTGTTAATTTAAAACTCCTGAAATTTTGAATTTGTAAAGTACAGGAACAATGCAATGTGACGAGACTGTTAACTACATGGAAGGTCTCACTTTTCCTTTTTCAAATGTAACAAAGATTTCAGTCTTTATTCAAAATTACTTACCTCAGTTCTTGGGGGTTAGTTGCTGGAATTGCAATTAATTCTGTCACTTGATTGTTGATAGTTATGTTATTAATCTGTTAGAAACAAAGATTCCACCGCTAAGTAAAAGCAGTAATTTCTATCCTTAAAAGAAACATGTTCATTTCACACATTTGAACAAACTGAAATTCTGAAGACAAGAAGCACATTTCCTCATTAATACACTTCAACAAATATTTATCATGACATTGGTGTCGTAACTTATGGAAGAAATTGGCTTGTCTAGTATAGACCAAATAATGGGTTCTGATTTGTGAATTGTATGGGCAAGAGGATAATAATCACATCATACCTCATGTCGGAAAAAGAGGAATTTGGCCTAGTTTACAACAAAGACAGCTTAGACTAGACACAGAACATACTTTATAATTTCAAATGCAGCAATGGAACAAGCTCTACAACAGACATAAGTAAGGAACAACATAGAATCCTGGGAGTAAGAAGTCAATAAACTGAGGTGAAAGACATGATAGGAATGATCTAAATATATATGAACTAGACTTAGAGCTGGGGGATACACTAACACTTATCTAAAGTCCCTTTATAGATCTGTATTCCTACATTCTTCTAGTTGCCACCATTATCAGTTATTTTTACCTTCCACACAAGCAGTGAGCAACAGGATGAAAACATCATCTAATATATATGGTCTTGACATTATCTAAGAAATATTCTGCTAAAAATAGTTTCAAGAGACAGGAAAAACACTTCTCTAATAGCTGTAGGCATAATGATTTTACACTAGGACAGTTTCAGTAAGCATTATCACCCTTGAAATGCAAGAGAATGCAAAGGTGGCTTTCTGCCTTATCTCAGTGTGCACCTGTGCAGCAGCTCTGCAGTGATTTTGCTGACTACTCTCATGCTTGTAGAGACTGTGATGTGAAATCTTAGACTGAGTGCAGACAAGGATGTGTAGAAGAAAGAGACAAGGTCCTTCACAAGCTTAATGTCCTTTTTTTCTTCTTCTCCCTTCAGTTTTCCACCTACAACGACTGAACATTCTCATCTTCCTCATATTATCTCAATACTGAATAATCTCTATGTTCCTTGCTTTACGTATCATTCTCTTAAAGCTCTGTTGTGTTTTGTAAGTGAAGACACTCATGGCACATAGGGCTACTGTGAAACTAGTAGCTGATTAACGACATACCAAAAACCATGGAACGATACCCTATTTATGAGTGTCTCACATGGATTATTCCCAAGATTAATTTATTACTTTTACTATTTATAATTAATTTATGCCCACACTGTTGCCATCTAATGATGCTCACCTACTAAATCGCCTTAATCAATCTCCTAAGTAAGATCCTGTTTACCTAAATATAGATTCTTAATTAGGCAGTTCCTCTCTCCAGAATTCCCAGGGCTTCCCCTTCCTTTTACTGCCTATACAGAGAATATTCTAGAATTTAGCTGCAGAGCAGCTGTTGAAGAGAGAGAGAGAAAGAGCAAAACCCTCCACTGCACATATTAACTTGTACTCCAAACTGTATTTGAAATAAAATAAAACTATAAAAAATGTAAGAACCATATTAGGGTGTAAGTATCCTAAGCATAGACAAACTCATTTCAACCTTCCTCACAATAAGGTTCTAAAAGAGAGAACACTTACTATTTCTACATTTAGTGACGTGTTACTTTCTTCAGCTGCCTGAAGTTTTACCTTGCCGACATAGAATACTAAAACCAAGAAGGAAAAAAAGTTAAGAAAATCAATGGTAAACCACATGATGTAAAAAACACAGTAAGAATCACATGAATTTAAAATTCAATCTTGTGTAACAGTAGAAGGGAAATAAGAACATTTACACTAGCTTTTCTGATCATTCACTATTTTTGAAATTGTTCCATCTCATCACTTACTATTTCCACAAATGAACCAGTCCGACAGATACATTATTTTCTGCATATTTATTTTTGCTCTCTGTCTCTAAATTCCTTCTAGTTTGTTTTTTGTTAAAACAGAAAAACTACACTGCACATTACTATTAATACAGTTCTGATTCCCATAAATAATAAAATGTGAGGGTAAAAGCAAAGTGATAGTCTGAAAATTACTCCCTTGAGAATTAAAGACCTTTCAGCATACCATAATTCAGAGCATGATACAAGAGTAGTCCTTGAGAGATGGTAAGTCCATTTTGGACACAAAAAGGAAATTCTACCACTCTTCTCTTCCTGCAGCCACACAATTAGTGCAGGCTATAAAGAAAGACCTGTACAAGAATACACAACATCACCCAAAACATCTAGCAGTTTACTGTGTCAATCAGTAGGGAAACTTTAAGGGAGCCAAGGCAGATACTTTTCTGCCTCTTCTGATTTATAAAGTACTCAGCATATGGCTGTTTGGCAGAAGTGACTTTACTTTCTGAAGTACTTCTTACAGAAGCCATTTATCAGTGTTTTAGAAGACAGCAACATTTATCAACAAAATCTTTCACTACTTTAAACACATACAAAGGGAACACCATTGCCCTTTCCATTTGCCTTTGTCTGTTCTGTCACATTACACTTCTGCAATACATGCAGGCTTTCCCACAAATTGTCCTAAAAAGTATTTCAACTTCTATTTCTGACAGAGAATTAGATGCAACATAGCAGACATTTGTGTCTACCATATCATACTAGTTTCTTGTTTTCTCAAGTTTATAATTCTTATTCGCAACAGTGTATCCTTTCAGAAGGAACCAAAGATCAAAAATATAACATTACTAGACAAAACATTACTTTCAAATATAAAACACTACATTTCATATTCATTTTTTAGAAGTATACAGAAATCTCTGAATTTTCTTGTGAATTCATTACTAGACCTAGCTTTTACACAGCAACTAAAAGTTGCCTCTTTACTCAGAGTAGAAAATAGCTGCGTATGTTTTCTATAAAAAGAAAAGGAAAAAAAAAAAAAAAGAGCAAACCACTAACCTGAAAAATTGCAGACGGGTGTTATGTTGCATAAAATGGTATCTACTGCTATACCTTTTTTTGGGAAAAAAAATTCTGGTGAGTAAAAAAGCTGAACTTAAACTCAGTACTGATAAACATATATATTACAATAATTTCAATGTTTTAAATATAAAAGTCTTTACCTTTTAGAAATATTTCACATAATGTTTAGGCTTCAATTCTCTAAGGTACTTACCATGACATTCTACAAGACTTAATTTTCAGAGTGAATCATGCTGGTTTTGGTTAATTAATTTTGAATAATTGTCTGTAACTGATTCCACAAGACCAACATGCAAGTAGTCTCTATTTTTTATGTTTTTTTTTAAATCCAAATAAAACAGAAACCAACATATCATAAATAGGTTCTTCCAGTATCACAGTATTCAATCCCTAGATAGCCTATTATCTGCTTCTGAGGATGCTACTACAGCTACTTATGATAGCATGAAACTAAAACTGTTCCACCTGATAAAATTCAAACTATGATGACAGCAAACACATATACTCTTATCTAGCAGAACATGTCTTTAGCTAAGTTACAGCAAGCTTTTGGCTGCTCTCATATTTTTAATACTACCTAAAATGCAAAGAAATAACATTGATACCAAATGAAGAATACTGTTAACAGACAACTCTGTTGCACAAAATCAAAATAAAGGACCAGAAAGATATTTGCATCCAAGGCAAAACTCCTACACTTGTAAAAACAATGCAGCACCAAAACTTCCCTTACTTAAGCAGGTAGGCTGGCATCTATTCATGGGAAAGCACGATACTATTTTCTCTGCTGCTATGCTATCATTAGCTAGTACCAAAGAGATGGTTCTTTTTAATTTAATTTTTTTTTTTTTTTTTTTTTTACTTTTTCTGTGGTACAATGGTACAAACATTTGCCTCCTATAGCTTGATGCTTCATCAATTTTATCACCTTCAACAAACAGCCATCAGAGGGTATGTGACCTAGTGGAAATACAATTTTTTTTTTCAGACAGCAATTTAGATTCCAACAAATTTACTATCCCTTTTGTGCTGGCAGTTGTCAGTTAAACAGTTATGAAAATTGTATCAGCACTTAACAACAAAAAAATCCTTGAAAGAAATAAAATGTTCATAAATAACTGAATTTATCAAAATTATTAACTACATAAAGAACAACAACACTTATAAAAACTCAAGACAAAATCTAGGAGTGACACCAGGCAAAGAGTAATATCAGCCTCTTTTTCTTTACAGAGCACCCATTTCCATGCCACCTAGTATTGCTTAAGATCTCTGTATGCCACCAAAATGCACAGAACAGGCAAACAGTCTGGAGTATAAAAGACAGCAAAAATCACTAGCGCTTCCAGCCCCCAAAGATCACTACATAACATAGCTGCAAAATTCCTGCAGGTCACATTCACGCAGTCAAATCACACTTGCTGGTATGGCTCCAAGAAGGTTCTGCTACCACTTGCAATAATTCAGTGCACATACTTTCTAATTGGTCTCTGATCTGGTGTAAAACCTTATATGGATGATAATAAAATTAAATTCAGCCTACTCCTATAGCCTGGACCTCCCCTGAGACCATCATGACTGGATTCAGTCTGCTTTAATCTACTGAAAAGCATGAGGATATTTTTGTTGTTTAAAGTAAACATGGTCCCTGAGATTTTGTTTCTTGCATCTTTGTGGTGACCTGCTGCTCTCACTTACAAAATAACCAGACTCTCCTATATGCGGCCATCTAGGCAAGCACTGTAGAATTAAACCTTCTCCCAGGCCACAGATAAGTAAAGTAATGCAGGCTACTAATATGACACGTCATAATACCAAAAAAGAAGATTCTATTAAAAGTAGCACACTTCCTGAACTCTCACACACTTAAATTAAAAGCATAGAAGAGAAATGGTGATATATGAATCCTACCTGGTGTTACAGTGGAGTAATAATCAGTGATGTCAAGAGTTTCTGGTAAAAAAAAAAGGTTTTAGAACTGTTTTCACATTTAACTTAAAAAGCCTATGAAATACACATCACAGAAAGAAATGTCCTCATTTTTTCTTTAGACTGTCTTGCCAGAAAAAGTGTAAACACATCACTATTTATAAGAGAATTCAGTTACTTTCAGCATAGGAAATGAAAAAGCATCACTGGGAGTGAGATCCACCAAATCAAATGTTTATGTCCCTATATAAGACAGTTACTCTAGGCTCCCTATTATTCAGTGGATAAAGTGGTGCCTTTAAGGTGTGATTCCAACTTAAGCTCTTCTACATGGGCACTTCAGCATAAGATGAATCATGTTCTAGAAATGTCTCTTTCCATCAGCTGTGACGGATAGCACGATGTCTAGCTCATATTAGACATCCAGGAATCTGTAATCATATGGGATGAACCAAGTTGTTTTCAAATGCAAACATCAGGAAAAAAAAGGGGTAGCAAGTGCCTCTGATCCTCTTTACTGACATTATTTGGCAACTCATTGCAAGGACAAGTATCATTATAAGAAACCTCAAAGAATGGGGTGTTCATTCTGGATCCATAAAATACTTTAAATAGTATTAGAATATACATTCTATCTATAGATATACCAAAAAACTACATACTTGCTAAAAATAAATATGCCCCATTTGGGCTTTGGTAAGCAATGTAATATACTGAATTAAAAAAAGAAAGGTTAACAGCCCACTGTCAGTTAAATGCACACCAGAACTGTACCCATGCAGACTTAAAATACAGATTGGACATAACTAAAAATTTTAATATCATGTAAGAAAATAGTTTGGGTTAAACAAATTCCAATTATTATTAAAAAAAAAAAACAAAAACAAAAACAAAAAAAAAACCCAACACAATCCAACTTTCAAAGGCACAAAAAAGACCTCCCTTCAGCCCTTAATCTCTTCATGGTAATTCTCACCTGTAGTTTGTGTAGTCTCCTCTGAAGTAATATCTGAAGAAGAAAAGTCAGTAGGAGTAAAACAAATAAAAACAAAATAAAAATCTTAAAAATCTAAGTCTAAATAAGAGAAACATTAATAAAATCTTGCCTGAAGGATTAATAGGATAGGTGACAAAAATAACAATAGAGGACTCTGGGGGAAAAAATGGAGAAGAAGGAAAACCTGTATTAATAGAATGCTTCATTTCTATGAGTTTTGGAGAAAAAAGGTCAAGTATGCAAAACTTCAAACGGGAACTGAATACTATTATCTAAGTTTCATTTTAAGAACAACTGCAGTGCTTTTTAAGAATGTTCACATTATTTCAAAAATCTGAATATCTCAGCACAAAAAGCTGGTAACCGAGTTCCTCTAAGTTGCTTTTATTTGTTTCATTATTTTAGAAGATGCAGATGAATTTGGCATATCCAATAGCAATAACTGCTTAGCTCCAAGGACCTCTCCCTGCACAAACTCACAATACTCATGAGCACAGATAACACACTGGCTTTGGCAAACCGTATCTAAAAAACAAAAATTTGGCCTGTAACCACATATAAATAGAGTGAGGATGCAACTTCTTTTCCAGCTACCTCAAAAGGGAAAAAAAAAATTTAAAAAGTTACATTAAGACAACCAAAGAAAATTCAAAGATTGCTCAGAACAGATATGTTTAGTAAGCATATTTCAGGTCTCAGTGCAGGAATACAAAGTGTTAGAGGTCCACTTTATATCACTTTGATATGACAACCTAATAACATGTTAAAAACAGCTTCATAAAAGAAGAACATTATGCTTTCCAAACTCCTTTATTAAACGCATTACTGTCATTAGTAGAAGCAATATTTTAAGTATAATAAAGAAAAGTTGGTGGCTCTGCATAAAGATAGTTGCATATCAATAAAAAAAAAAAAGGCAATCTACTTCATTACATGGAAAGGGAGCATTTTCCTTCTGATGTATTTATTTCAACCAAACTAGGCATTTTCAGTCTTTTCAAAAGTATGCTATTAAGTCCATACCCAGAATAAAAGCTAAGCATATTTGGTTCTTAAGTAATAATCCTGAATACAGATGATTTTTTAAGGCAACTAACAAGCAACCAAAACACAAGCAATCAGAGTGAAAACTAAGTGCTGACTTCATCTGTATTATTTGGCTTGGTATAAACTACAACAAATATTAAATGGGCTGCAGTTGTTAAAGATGAACCATTCCCAGAGAAAGGGTTGCATCTGTAAAAGAACAAAAGCATCTGTGTTTGTGTCTGTATTACTTCTTTTCTTCAGAGCACAATATGTCAGTATACACCAATCAAGAAGGCATATGGCTTTCACATAACCATTTATGTGTGCCTAGTCTTCACAAAAAAAAGAAAAAGCTTTCATAGATGATACACGTCACCTCCAGAGCCAGAAGTTTATTAGTGCCCTCTGTGTGTGTGCACATGTGTGTGTGCAGTGTACCATGCTGCACGAAATGACACAGGCATATCTGCTGGGGTGGGAGGAGATGTACGGGAGCTCTCTCACTACAGTGTTCCTCTCCTGCCATCTCTGTAAACTGCTCACTGTTTAAGTTACTGGAAAAAAGGCTCTTGTGCAAAGCAAAGTGCACCTACTTCACCCCCAAGTGTAAACTTCATTACAAAGTAGAATGAAGAAATTCATTTTCTCTTCAAATAATAAACAACAAAACCATTAGATGTTGGAACTCATTTACATTACAACTTTTCTGCATTATCTCAGATAAAAGCACATTTATCTAATAGGAAATGGCAAACACTGGAATAATCAGTAAAGTCCTGATTTTCTTACCAGAGATAGTTGTTGCAGCTGAGTATCCTGAATTTTCAGTTTTTGTTTCAGATAGAAAAAAAGAAAGGGGAGAACAAAAAAGACCATAATGAAGTTACAGACACATACATAACCATCCTCAGCAGCCTTTCCTTGTATTATCGAAAGTTTACTGCATTCACCAGAAGAGGGCAACACCTGCTTATAAGAACACTTCCAGCTTGTCAAAAGAGGCAGATGTAACAGCCTTCGATTAAAAAAAATACAATTTTTACAAATTCACATAGAATTCAATTGAAGACGATTTCTTTACAACAAATACTGAGCAGTTTGCATTGTACAATGTTAAGAAACCAAAAAAACTTGACTCAAGATACATGCTATGCTGGACTGAAAGTGTCTTGCTAATTCTGGGAATGAGAATCAAGCACACCTAAGACAGCTACAGGTGGGGGTGAAGAACTGTTCTCAGACTTTGTATAATAACACTGAGACTTGGCATTTAAGATTTATCCTATATGCATCTGTTCTCCTTTCTATCCTGCAAAAAGCAGCACTACAAAAAGCTAATTAATTTCAAGTTTGAACCTGTGATCTTGATAGAAGGCAGCCGACTATTTATATAACACACTAGCCACTAAAATGTTTGATGTTGTTACAGTATCTTCATCAAAAAGAAATTAGGAAATTTGCTATCTGGTTCACACAGTGACTTCAAAGTTAGCCTTTTTGTTCATTGAGTGGTATTTTTGATAGCACTGTGGATAAGTCAAGCCACAGTTATCACAGAAATACAACCTAAAGAACAGCTGGCTGCAAATATGAAACAGTACTTAAAAATATATACTGAAGGTGTTCCAACATCTTCCCTCAAAACTCAAAAGTGACCCTAAAGTGTTACTTAGAATACACTATACTGTAAAGCATTTCCTACTGCTGTAGAGTAGTTAAATCAGAGATAGCAAGTCTCTGCAGAAACAACTTTGCTTAAATACAGTCAACAAGGAGTTTCTGAAATGCTAAGCACTCACATGACTCCTTGCTGAGACTATTTTGCTTGCCCTACTGAAAACTAGTATTGGCTTCTTTCCAAAGGACAGACATAAATATAACTTATGCAATGAAAGGAGAATCAGAGTCACCTCAGTGATCATATTTTCATCTTCTCTGGAAAACTGCTGATGAAAATTGCACCACGAAATATGCTAATAAGCCACAAGTATGATATGGATAATTAATTTGCAATTATTTACATATTCTTAACTATATGAGTTAAAAAGTAACAGCAGCAGCAATCTTCTCATGCACTTTATAAAATACAAGAACAATGGTGCAAAAATCACATGGAACCCCCATATACCTGTTATCTGTTTTCTGCCAGGCAGCGTAGCAGTAGGTTCAACTACAAAGGAAGAAGACTTATTATTAGAAGAAGTTTAAAAAAAAATGTGTACATGCATATATATACACACTTTTTAAAACACAACCATTTTACATGTGCTACTTACCTCAATTCAAACTGATCTGCAAAACTACTTTGCATCCATTAAGAAATATGTGTCAGGTCTTTTTGAAAGCTGGAATTTGAAATCTTTTGAGTTCAATTTTTTACTCAGTTAATCACTTTTTCACTTACGGAAGACATAGATTAGGCTGTGAGCTCTCCTACTGTCCTGTATTGCACATCTCTTGGGAACCCCCTTCAATACATTTGCTTGAGTGAAAAAGAAGTAAACTACATAGCAGCAACCAAAAATCTAACAGACGCACACAACTATGCTTTCACATGGTTACTTTTGCAGAAAGGTGGAAAAGAAATGGCAATGAATTATTCAAGAAATGAAATGCCATTCATACAAAGAGAAACAGAGACATTAACAACAACAACCAAAACAAAGCAGGAGGCAGGTGAGTTGAGTAAGACAGGGATGCTTTATTCCATACATACTTAGAAATTACATGAGCTACACTTTGAGAGTATGATGTGCATATAAAACATGCAGATGCTCACATGCCCAAGAACTGCACCACCAAAGAACATCTCAACAAAGAGTACCTAGACCAATCAGGGTGCCAGAAATGAAGTGGCTCAGGTGGACCTGGACTGGAAATGAAACAGTGAGCTATTCCTAGTTCAATGGGCCCATGAAACCCATTCCTACGGACAACCAGGCAGAGATGCAACATACAGATAGGCTCTTGATCAAAGTGTCAATTGAATCTACTGCTCAGGCTACCTGTGAATGTGAAACATGCACTGTAATTGAGTCAGCCAAGCAACTAAAGTCTCCTTGGAATAGAAGACAGTGGTTGGGCTATCAGTATGAGGAGTTTTAGCAGATCAGTTACATCAGACCACCACTGCAAACCTGCCACCATGGCAAGTGCTATGTGCCTCCTGTAGTGAAGGCAACTAGCAGATGGCTAGAAAGGTACCCTGAAGCCTAAGCCACCAGCCAAAACATCATCCTGGACCTTGAAAAACAAGTGGCAACATAGTATGACATACAGTTAAGGACTGCCATCTTACTTCAGCACCCTTGATAGCTGCGATCTTGGCTGTGGGGCGAAGAGAAGAGATATTCTCTTCTAGTCACTGAACCTGGTGGGACATTAGCCACAGTCAACATGCAGGCCCACAGGGCTGTGGAGGAATGGAAAGTCTCTGAATTGCTGGAGCTTGTGGGCCAGTTTCTCCAAGGTTAGTGAGTTGATACCTGGCCAGTCCAGCATCACAAAGGTGTTGGCATATTACACTGGTGCATACTGTACTAGCACAGGAGAAGGTTGGATATAACCTTAATTTTTGCAGTCCATTTTCAGGAAAATTAGGACTTCTCACTATATCGTAAGTTAGGTTAAAATACAGGATCCTATAAGACATGTATTGTAGAGCTCTTACGAAGAAGTTCTACTATAACACTGCACAATGATTAGGTATTATGGCACCTTTAAAATTATTTTCTTAATGTGGTTTTAGGCAAGACCCGTAAGATACAATACCAATTTTAAATAACATGCAGAACTGAAGCAGTAGTCAAATAAAACTGTTCTGTATTCTTTAAACAGTAAATAGTTTTTAAAGATAGAATGGGGTGAATAAAAATAATTGAGGCAATTCTATATAACACATAGTGGACTTTTGGTTAGAGAAGAATGTAACCTTCCAGATGGGGGCAAACCAGCTTTCCTATTACAGGAAGTGAATTCCACCTCTGCTAGTACTGTCTTACTAAGTAAGTGGTTAGCATCTTGTGCAAACATCCTCATCTCCAGCCAAAGGGCCCTGGAGGAAATGAAATTCTCAAAAGGAACCCACCTCTTAAGTGTGCGGCATCTCACACAAAACATCACCACACTGCTTCTTCTGCCCACCAAAAAAATAAAACAATTTGCCTAGAAAATCTGACCCTAAGGTCTTTCTCATGTACTCTTGAGGAGTCAGCATAGACATAGTCACTGTAGATAAATTGCATTTCCTATCCTCTATATCCCTTCAGGAAGTTTTGTGAATTTTTGAGAATACAAGTAATATCCAGAGTTAGCTAAGAAAATTGTCCACTAACATGTTCAGTACTGTAGGTTAGTAAGAATATAGTGAACTCTAAAAATGCCAAATGCATTTAATAAAGAATTCTGCAGCACAGGGAGGAAAAAAAAAAAAAAAAAGCTAAACGCAAGTCATGAATATGTAGCTAGAAAATGCAGCAAGTGATGGCAGCATGCATAGCGTGAGGGGAACTTTTTTCTGGGCACAAATCTAACCATGACTTCTCTTACAGCACAATACTCACATGTCTACAGTTGCTAGAAATTATCCATGAGAATGAGACTTGTCACTGATCAAAGTGCAGTATTAAATTAGCTGCCTAAGTCTTTCAACAGAATCACCTTTGCACACAGAAAGGGGGAAGGAGGAGAGGCTGTCATACATTATTTAATTTCACTTCCATTTGTCAACCCTCCTCCTTTGTTGTGTTTAAGAACTAGAAAAGAAAGTGAATAGGGTTTATTTGCAGAGCATTAAAGTCCAGTCTAAAATATCCCTAAAGTTGACACGTAGAAGGGAAAGTAAAATAATTCAAGGTGTGCAAGTTATTAGCTGACATAAAATGTCTTTCCCTTAGGTTGTTTACTATCAATAAGAGCACAAAAATCCTTATGTCTATGAAACCTCATTTTATCTGCTCCATGCATTTTTATTTGCAACCCTGTTGGTTCAGGATCATCAAATCAACGTACCTAATATCCTATTCCAAAGTAAGACATTATATATTGTACTAACACTTTTCTCCATTTTGTTCTCTAATAAAGAACATCCCTGAGGATCCAAATGGCAAATAAATAGGCAAATAACATTATTCATTATTATTCTTTGCTTTTGCTGCAAGGGAGACAGAATAGTTCCCCACAATAACTGTTCGGTTTGTTTTGGTTTCTTTTTTTCAGAAGGAAAAGGCAACTGCATTAAATGACATAAGCACTGGTTTTTGTTACTAACATGCATCATCAGAAACAAAAGCACTAAGTCCCATACTGACTTCATATCACTTTGCACTGCTCTGACACAAACAGCTGGCTAAGCCAGGACTTGAGAATCCCAGCTGTGTAGGCAGAGGGAACTGTTCCACTGGTATGAAACCTGTTTAACAACTCTTGCCATCGCTCCATACCACAGCTGCAAAAAGCTCACCTGGGAACCAGTATCTGCATCGTGACCACCTTCATTTCCCAGAATGACTTTTATAATGACAATAGGAACCAGTGTAACTTTAGCAGGTCCAGTCTGGTAGAAGACTAAATCCATTAATAGCAGTACTTCAGATAGATCCACAAACTGATGTAGCTCTGAGAGAGACCAGTACCAGGCCCTGTCTACAGAATAGCCTCATGCTTACAACGTTCCTTAGCACCACAGATCTTAACCATCAGTCTACAGGTTCTTTTAGGATGGGATGGTCTCCACATGTCCTACTGAAGCTGTTCCATCAAAGTAGAATTCAAAAATCAATTTGACCAAAGGTTAAGAAAGGAAGAATGATACTTTGTAACACAGCGGTGAAGATGGGGCGGATGGTTGTGGTCCATGCACCAAAGGCATTGTCAGTCATAGCATCCTTTTTGTTCACTAATTTAGACATGAAATACAGAAGAAGCTCTTAAGGCAGGAACCAACATAGCAATGTCCTACCTCCCACTGGAAGAATTCAAAATATCCTTTTCCTCTCCCTACCTCCAATCTAACTTACGACCAGAAAAGTCTTCCTTAAAATTTTGGCAAGGAAGGCAACAAAGGCAACCCGCTCTGCCAGAAGCAGTTCAGTTTTTCCAGGGTGGAGGCGTGAGAAGCAGCTAGAACCTGGCTGCAGACAATATCGTGCAAGAAATAAGTTACTGGCAGCTGCGTCTTGCTGCCCTGTCTCATGGGAACAGTGTTGCTGCTGACTAACACTGTTTTACCAAACACTTCAGGATCGCCTTTAAACTTTTGCAGAAAGCATCCTTTGAGCAAGCCTGAGACAGCAAACAGAGTGCTTTTTTTTTTTCTGGAGATGGAGAAAAAGAGTCTGAACTGTAGTGACGTGGACATCCAGCCGGCCCAGCCTGTGCAGCGTGGAGGGGCAGGGGACAGCACAGCGTGAAGGGCTGTGCCTGCTGACCTCTGCCTCTCAGGAAGCATGGTAGAACACAAAGCGCAGTTGCTTTCTACTCAGGTCCAGGCATGAAACAGGCACTGAACACCTAAGGAGCACCAACAACCCTGGCAATCTGTAGAAGCACAGACAACATTACTGGCAAAAAACATACATTTTTTTGACTTCTGTGTTCTGGGGCCTAGATGACAGGTTTATGAAATGGAGTGCCCAAAATTTTACTTACGTTAATTGAAAAACAATTAAAGCAGTTTGTATTCTCATCCAAGACTATCCTTTTGAACTAAAGTAACCTCAACTACGTCAGTTCTCGAAAACACAACACCAGCAGAATCTGAATGGACGAATCCCAGGGGACACCTTGGTGTCTATGTGACATGGTCTCCCCATGCTGCAGTACTTGGCTGACACCACACATTGGCATTAGAAACCCACGACTGTGTACTGCTGATAAGATCAGTTCTGACTTACAAATACAGAGAAAAATACCAGGAAATTAATAAAAATTACTTTTTCTAAATAAGATGTGATAGCAAACCTAGTGCTGGAACTTCTTTGACCAAAAATTCAACTAATTCAGGCAGAGGAACAGATTTGCATTAAAAATTCCCATCAGAAATGCTGAAGTGGAAGCTTCAATTACAAAAAAAGATATACAGTATCACTTTCTGGCTTTAAAATAAATGAATTAAAACCATTTTACATCAAAGAGCCAATTCCACACTGCATTTTTAAGTCTATGCAAATTGTCTTTTAAAATTTCTCACAGACAACAGTTATCAGTATGTGTTACATCAGTTACAAGTACTGTGCAGCAACTACCATCCATTTGTACTCAGTATTACTAGGATATAGCCATATGAAAATGTCTGGCATTGATACACTTCACAAGATTTGATTATGTATAAAACTGAGTAGCCCAAACATCAAAATTTCAAAACAGTACTGTTCTAAAACCCACCTATTACAGAGATATGCACTGAAAATACAACATTCAATTCTCGTATTTGAATTAAATTCATATTTTCTATCAAGAGATTGGATCCCTTTAACATTTGATAAACCTCTCAGCTAAAAAAAAAACCAAAAAATCAGCCAAAAGCAACTGTCCTGTCACACAAGGCATTAACACGTAACAGTAATGTAAAAATCCTTCCTAATTGTTCCAGTGTAGACATTAGCCCATATTGACATTTTATTGAAGTTAGATTTTGAGGCACATCTTGTGAGTTTATAGGATAAAATTAAGTGTAATCTTAATTTAATGTTTTGGTGTCTCTTATGACACCTCTTGTAGGCTCTAACTCTTAGTGGTGGCACCATGGAGGAAAGGATGAACTATCACTAGCTACTGGACAGAAGCAAATGTAAGAAAACAATGGAAGTGCTTGTTCACATCAGGCTCTGTCACTTTGGCCCATTCATTGTAGTATCCTTAAGAGAAAAATTAGGTACAATATTTTTAACTCAGCTTTGATGTTAAAGAGGATTTTAGGAAATTAGGTTTTTAGGAAATTAGGTTTTTATCTGTTTGTATAAAGCTGTACCTTAGATATTGAGGTGAATCAAATCACCTCTTCTCTGGCAGGCTGATTTCCAAAAAGCTACTTTCTTTGATATCACAGAAGAGGGAGGCAACAAGAGCAAAGAAAGGGAAGGTCAAACATGCATTTTGTTAATCGGTACAAAATGGAGCGATACATGACTCATCAAATAGGCACTCCAGACTTAGGTATTTTTTCCCTGTCACATTTACTTCCTCTAAGAGCTTCTAGAAAGTTTCTGTATTTTTCTGTCCTTATAGTTTTAGAAATAAAATTATATTTGGGCAAATAATTCATTTTTTCATCTGCAGCTTTCATGATCCACATAGTAAACATAAGAATATGTTTGGTACCCAACAGACTGGGCTGCAGACTGGGTGAATGGATGAGTGGCAGCGACATTACCACGTTCTGCCTGAGGACGTAAAGCCTCCCCTTCCAGGAAAGCTGATCCTGTCATCAGAAGTGCACACTTGGGAAACCTTATAAAGTGATTACAAGAGCCTAAGTCACACCTTCACACCTGCAAAGTAGAACAACAGTCCAAACTTCTCCACTTCCCTGACCATACAAAGGCAAAACAGTAACACACAGCACTGGCCACTTCTCCCACTGCTCCCACCAGCATTAAACTCTCTTGTTTCCACAAGCCTGGAAACCTCCTCCAGAAACACCAGTAGCTGGCTCAGCAATATTGCAATGAAAAGGATACATGGAAAAGAAGGGGCAACACCTTAATCTGAAAGGTTGGACAGGACAGTTTAGAAAAATCTAAAATACCACAATATAATACTCAATTGTATTTATTCAAAAAAACTGCAACCAAAAGCAACAGGCATTGTACTCCTGCTAAAAGTCAGGGTACTGATACCGCAAATGAGATATCAGTGCTTCACTGTTAGTGATACTCTTTACAGTCATGCCATAAATCAGATATCCCATCACCTCTGTGCTCCTTGCATAAATGTACAGTGTAACAGTTTGGATATTTATATTTGGATTAAGAATGTTACAGTTTAATGTGTAACTGAAATGATTAATGTTTAAACAGTACATTTCTTCCAGTTGTCAAGTTATTATTAAAGGCAACTTGCAAATGTCCCATGTAAAAACAACTGAAGAGCTGGTGCTCACAGATAACTAAAATTTCTTTCCAAGTGTTTTAAACTCACCTATTTTCAAGACCTGCTGGTTTTGTATTCTCTTAAATCACCCAGAGTTTTATACTACTTAGTGCACTTTTTTCCTTGCATTACGCAGAGCCAGTAGGGATATCATTCATATTATCCACGTTAAAGTATGTAGCTAAATAGAAATCATTCATCAAGGAACAAAATGAATAAATTTTCCAAAGTTGGCATTTACAACAGTGAGCACATCTTCCTTCACTTAGATATTTTTGAATACCAGGAGATGATCTTTAAAGTGAGATACATTCAATCTATGGCACTCTTTCTCCATATCACACTTGTTATGCTACTTCTCCTTCTCAGCAAAAGAGAAGTTATCAACGGAGCCTGAGGAATGTAAGGGGAAGGTTAGTGACGCACAATGTGTGGGGCCTCCTTCCCTCTTTGGCCCCACCTGCAGTATTTACATCTGTTCAGCATGCAATGGCTACACCGAGCAGAAGAGAACCAGAAGACTGTGTGACTGGAAGAAGCAAGAGTTGCACCTTTAACTCCAGTCTTAGAGTTTGCTACTGCTAACTTTTGTCAGTTCAAGAAATGTGATCAGCCCTCACCACAAACTGGAAATCAGTCAGCTTTCTCGCAAGTCTTCAAATGCATAAGACATGTAGCTGCTGCAAAAGTAATCTCACCTGCTTCTATGGAGTAAATCACTTGGTTAAAGCTGAGCATGTCTTTAAGTGCTAAGCATGTGTGTAAATCTTACCAGAATTGAGGTTCTGGTCCTTATTAGACCTCATGTGGTTAAGAAAAAGATTTTTTCATAATTGTCAAAAATTATTATAAAAATAAATATTAAAGCCACAAGAAAAAGAATCAGAAGAGTTAACAAAAAGGCAGAAAAAGGAGGTAAGGAAATATAAGCTAATAACGTCACATTAAGTAAATCTACATTTATTAATGGAGTGCATCACTGCCTCTGAGACACCAATTAGGTAATGGCTTACACTGCACAAAGATTTTGATTGGTTAAGCAAAGGAGATATCACAGAAATCATTTGACTGAACATTTTACAAATTGTTGTTTTATGTAGGTACAAAATACCAACCAGGTCATAAAAAAAAAAGTTCTGAAACTTATCCTCCGGCACAATTACGACTGTAACAAACCACTTCCTTTTCACCTTTTGTGCCTACACAGGAGGCAGAGCCCTTTCCCAAGCTTAGTCCTTTGCCAATCATGCTCTTTGCAGATGCAAAATCAGATCTTTTTCAAGACTTACTACTCAAAGTCCTTCCATTTTAATAAAAAAACAGTTCCCATAATCAGGTAATTTTTAAGCAGGTGTACAACGAATATAAAGACAGCAGATTGTAAGACTAGCAGCACCATCAACTGAAATTGCCTGACATTGAATAGTACCTGCTCCTACTGTCAATGCTTTGGTTTTGTTTAATTGTTGGACTGGCACTTGCTAAATATCTGCCTTGCACAAAATGACGGGGGGAAGGAGGGGTGTAGCATAATCAGCTAAAATCCATCTATTCCTGAAAATAAGCAAATAAAGTATTAAAAAAGATGCAATGAACTTTTCTTTGAAAAGCTGTTACTCTTCCAAGTTATCTAGAGGAGATAACATGTATTTGGCAGAAGAGATGGCCTCTGTACTGAAACAAACCTCTATCCGCATAATTAAATCTCAAGTTGGCTAAGAGCTTTGGAAAACATACATCTTATACACTTATTAGAGAACTCTTGCAGCTAGACAAATATTCCACAAGCCCCTAAATCACTAATTCTAAAATCATTAATCAGGGCTGGAGTTGGGCATTGCTTAACCAAGCTGCTCTGTCATGCTCAAGGATACTCTGTATTCAGGGCAGAAAGTACTGGAACTGACAACAAGATGGTTATCCTTTCTGTGACTGAGTGAAAGATAATCAGATGCTTCATTTGCACCAGGCCTTATCCCACTACCCAGAGAAATCTCTCTCAGACTTTCTTTGCACCAAACTTCCGTCTAGTAGCCAGAATGTTTCCTCTTTCAGTCCTAGGACTCAGTTCTTTCAAACACATTAACATATGACCAAAAGAAAAAAAATTCTTTCTTCAGTTCCTCTCCCAAATTTCACACAATCCAACAGAGAAGACCTGCTCCCAACTGCAGCATCAGGCCAGCAGGGGCACTTCATTCATTGTGACCCAGTGTCAGAAGCATTCTTTGAGTCTTGGTTTGTCAGATCTCTCTCAGAAAAAGAAATCTGGTCACCTTATTTTAATGCCCTTACTAAAAGACTGTTAGCCTACCCAGTCAGGCAGTGATTATAAAATTACACAGGTAAAAGTTATTTTTCAGTCTGCACAAAATAGATAGGTGCAGTTTTTAAGGATAAAGGTGAAGAAGATTAAGATTGGTGCCATTGTTTAACTGAAGCACTTATGCTATGTAAGAATTCTAGGAACAAATCAAGCTAGTCACCTTAAAATCTCTGAAGGTCTTATGGGGTAATAGTATAGTTGATAAACTGGATCCCACTTAAGCTTGATTCAAGTTTGTCTTTCTTGTTAAATGATACGATGACAAAAGCTAGAAAGAAGATTAAAGTTCTGGACCAGCAAATGTGCAGAATGAGGAGCAGCAATTCTCTCCTCTACGTTTATTCCCTGAACAGAAGGTACGTAAATCAATTATTTTAAGATGACATTGACAGAAAGCTCTAATACTCCAAGGAGTTTTGGTTGGAAGCACCCTGCTTTCATTACCATTACATGGACAGTAAACAGACACAAAAGTTGAAGCAAGTTGAAAGTCTTTAAAGGATTGCTGCTATGCCTTTTATGTTTCTATAAAAGCTGGTGAAAGCTGCAGATCCTCACATGATGTTATTAAGCAGTTAGCTAGAAATGATTAATAAACAAAGACTGTAAAGTCTGGAAGAGAAATGTTAGACATGTTCAGATCAACATACTATTTTAAAATCAGGTGTGCAATGGTACTTACCACATGGCAGAGAGTTATCTTCTTCTACTGTCTTATTATAGACCCAATCCTCCTTTCTCCAGCGTATAACACCACTATCTTTGCAGCGCAGAGATTGGTTTATATTTGCTTTATCCCACATTCTGAACATATACAGCTCCCCAGTCATACCCAGGTCAGGTGACATCACTGCACCTGGCAGCTTTGAACAGCCCAGTAAGAACCGCCCTTTTCCAGGCAAACTAAATTTCCCAGTTAGTTTTTTGTTGACTTTTTTTTTTCCGTTTATGAATACTTTCATCTCCTCATCTTCACTTTTCCACTGGATACATATTTGGTTCCAAGTGTTCTCCTTAAGTCTTGCTGTCATATTTATTTGATTTCCAAACAACCATATCCTCACTTTACCATGATCTCCTGTAAGTCCAAGATCATACTTATTTGCAGAGAGATTGGTGTGAGGTGTTTCTTGATGGTATACATATGCTGTCCATAGACTATTTGAGGAATATAGCTTCAGGTGCACACAGACAATGAATTCTTTCAAGGGACGCAGAGAAATTCTTGGTGACATAATCCAAGGATCTTCACATGCAGTCTTAAAGACAGCCTTATATCTTCCTAGGAAATCCTCCTGATCTAAATAAAGAAAAGGTGATTTGTAAAATTATTTCATTTTTAAAAGGACCTTCTATATGAATGTTATTCTTCCACACAGTACTGTTCCTAGGAGTTTTCAAAACAACACAATAAGAAACAACCTTCTATCCTCTTTTTCTTTTTTTTTTTTTTTTTTTTGTAGTGGGGAGGCAGCAAATTTAAAGGCAGTCAATAAATCCTAGCTGCTCATGAAAGCTTTGAAGAAAAACTCATGCACAAGATGAAGCATGACCATGTACCTCTCTAAAGCAGCACTCAAACAATAAGTGGAAAGCAAAAAGAGAATCACAGATCCTGGTTCCTATTCTCAGGACTGCACAGGTATTTTGTATTTAACAGATACTGGATAAAATACAGAAACAGAACTAGAAGAAGGGACTATAGCCCTTACTGCCTTCTCATGTCATAGCCCTGCATCCTCCTTGTCTGAACAAGACCATGCTCTTCATGTCATTTTTTTCCAACCCTGAGATTCTTAAATCCTCTGCTGCATACTGGTAGAGTTTCAGCAAGAAAGGTAGAAAACAGCCACATTCCAGAACAGCACAACTTTAGGTAACTGTCAGGAAATGTGTTTTGTAGCCACTGGTTTATCTTAAATTTAATCCCATCCAGCCCCCACTCCCTGTTCTCTAACAGGGCATTTACTTGCAGAGGCATCTGGTCTGTGAATCTTAAATCCACTGAGGCATTGACATGGTGGCAACCTGCAGTTCAACTGTGACAGGAAACAGAATTCTAGGTCCTAACAGTAAATTTAATGGTGAAAACAAGGTGTCTGGTTCTGTCAGTGCTGGTATAACATGTAACACCAGAGAATGCCCCAAACACTAGAACTTGACCACAGCTGTTAAGTTCTTGTATATGCGTTTCCTCCTTTGTCCCACTACAGCAAAGTACAGGCTTTTGTTGCTATAGATGTATGCTCTTTGTAGAATGATGCCCAGTCCAAATTCACAATCATTATCATGTTTGCTTGCTTTACGTTGCACCTATAAGCAACAAAATTAATTCAAACTGAGAAAAGCTCCTATGAGATGTGAGATAGAACTATAGAAAAATGAAAGCCTGGTAGACATTCAGCCAGTGCAAGAGAACACATTGCTGACACCTTTAGGGGGGCATTTATTTACCAATATATGCCGAGCTTTTAGGTACACAGCAGAGGAGATGTGTGAGACATCATCATTGGTCAGGGTTGGATAGCAGGAAAAGATTGGCTAAAATTGGAAGAAAGCCCTTCCATCAGCTTCCCTGTGAAAAGACAGATTTCTAGGCAACTTGGAGCAGGTTGTTGGTTTGGTTTTTTTTTTCCCCAAGGTAGGTTACATTCACAGTCCTAGTTAGTTTTCAAGATCACAGCCAGCTCTTGTGTGATCTTCTCAACCAACCAGAGCCCCTGCTTTCAGTAGGCCAAATCTGAACCAGGAACGTGTTCAACTTCTCTGTCTCTTGACCACAAGGCTCTCAATTTTCTTTTCCAATATTAACAAATGAAAACCACAAAGAAGTTCCTAACTTCCAAGTGCAGGTTGATAGGTAAAAACTACCAGAGAAAGTTAAAACCACAAGATACATCAATCCAGTTTCATGGAAAGTGATTGGTATCTATTTTTCTGGCATACTGTAACTTTGAGACTCCCTTTGTGATGCTAATTAGCAGAAATCTGTAGGAATCTTTCACAACCCTGAATCATTCCTGAAGTTAAACATACATGATGAAAGTGCCATACAAGGCTATAGACCAAACTACTAACTCTCAGTGTACAGGCTGAATTAGGTGAAAATCCTAACTAGCAGACAGTGGATTTTGAACAGCAAGGTAATACTTAGCAGGGTTTCATGGCACTGGAGACGACATACATACTTGAGCCAACAGCAAGCAGAAGAACTGCTCCCCACATGTCTAACCCTACAGCATGAATTCACTCATTCAGTTTGGCCAGTTGTCAGAGTCTAAAAGAAAAAATCTAGGATACTCAGCTAAGAACATGTTAACATGTTACTCAGCTAAGCACTTTTCAGCCTAGAAAACTAATTTTTAAACCATGACTTAAAAGCTGGGGTGAGGAAGACTGGGTGGGAGAGGAAAGTGTCACAGAAGTGATACACACTTAAATGTACCTACCCTTTTTAGTAGCAGGATGACTAAAATTAAAATAGATTGACTACCTTCTAGTTTGGACAGCTCATGAGGGAATTGATTTTACAAAGGAAACTGCTAACTAGATATACAGTTAAATACCAACACTTGTGACAGTCTCTCCAAAGAAAAATAATTGCTTAAATCTTTCATTATTACACAGGAGTTATGCTTAAGGTTCTTTTGAAAGACTTGATGCAGCTGCTCTTCTCAGAAAATATATGTCAGAAGGATACTTGCATGACATATATCCTGCAAAATTCCTGCAAGCAATTTTGAGCATGCAGAGGCAGCCAAAGTAACTGGTTAAGGAAGTTTCCTGACATAGCTTCAGAACTTGAAGTCACCGTTAAGCATCCACACTGAAAGATTTGAAGTCCATTCCTGAGCAGAAATGTTAATCAAAACTTCAGGTACCATCAGCAAACCTGATTTGGGAAGTGAAGAAACTACGGGAGAGGCCTGATTTCATGTAAAGCATTAAATTAATGCTTATGCACCAACAGTGAATCAATTATAAGCCTACAAAATCCTGTTACATTCTTTAGGGAAGCTGACACTACAAAGTTGCCAAGGGAGCTAGAGTGGACATAAATTTACAAGTGAGAACAGTCTTCAGGCAGTTAACCAGTAGAAATAATGCCAAATGAGATCAATCCTGCTGCTGATGCCTCTAGTCTGCTTTGTATCACTCAAAATGACTGCTGTTGATCAGTATGCAAGGCCTGATGAATTAATTTAAGCTATCAGAAGAGATTACTTAGAGGTCTAAACTTCTGAACTTCTGGAAACTGGAAAGTCTGGCCCATTTTGCTTTAAACAGTTGGGAAAAAAAAAAAAAAGTAAAAAAAAAAAAAGGTACCAAAAAGGGGTACCAAAGTTAAGCGAATAGATGCCAATAGTACCTGAATTATTACACGAACGGCTTCGAAAAGTTCTCATGGTTTGTCTACCCAACAAATACTGCAAAATGCACAAAGGAAATCATAACTATAGAAAATGCACTTTGCTGTTCCAAGTGGAACATGTGCGATACAGTGTTGAATTAGTTAGAAATAAATTCTCCACAAGGCTGTCTTTTTGATATGTGGATGGATGTATGGTAAGTAAGATGACATTAAATCTTTTGGAAGTTTTGTTAATCATTGCTTATTTTCTCCAGTAACCTGTGGGGCCGCAGCTCACCCTGGACCATAGAACTGAGGAGTGGGAACTGGCTGTACTCTGACAGCAGCATTGCTTTGGGTCATAGAACCATAGAATTGGTTAGGTTGGAAAAGACCCTCAGCATCTTTGAGTCCAAACATAAGAGAGTGGGAGGGGCAGGGAGCAGGGGGTGGTGGAGGTTGTAGGTGGGCCTTGAGCCCATACCCTGATGCTCAGCAGGCACAGCTGCTTCCGCAGTCCAGACAGTATAAATCACATTCAGAAACCTAGCCACAAATGTACCTTTATCACTGCAGCACAGAAAAGATAGCATAGTAAAAAGAATGCTCAAACCATATTCAGATTAAGAAAAATAAGCAAAAATCACAATTTGGAGTGAAGAAAACTCCATGGAATAGTAATCAGGGGCTGACTTTTCTACGTCAGTTGCTGTATCCCAGTACTTCTTTCAGAAATGTGCATTGCTCCTTCTTAATGTAATTATCCCTAAAAGATGCAAGAACTGAGAGTTTTATTCACTAAAAACTTTATTCCTAAAAGATGCAAGAACTGGGGGTTTTATTCACTAAAAACTAAGAGCATCCACTCAATAAGCATGTTCTCTCAAGCCCTAAAAGAAATACTGGAACGTATTACATACTTCCAAACATTTAAAATAAACTTTCTGAGAATGACGAGGTAATGCAAATGTAAACAAAAAAAAGTAATCTTTTTCCAAACATTTTTAGATAGCAATACTTAGTATCTTTACAAAAGAAAGCCAGTCATAGGTAGCAAAAACTAGACATACGAGAGCAGATCCTCTCAGTATATGCATCAGTACTATTTTTCTTACATTACTAATAGCTACTGTATCAGTATAGTTGAGCATTAATACAGTTGAGTATACTCTTGAATAAAAATAGTCACAAGTTTATGTGTCTGCACAATCTGGCTTTTAACCAGTAACAACAATATTCATTCATTTCTATGCAAGTGTTTGCTACCTGTAACATATTTGGCTTGCTACAGTCCCATTAAAATGACATCACAAGAACCTTGTATCCTAACGTATTCTTCCTAGAGCTCATGACTGTTCTTTATATGAAATTCAAAACTTCTACATGCGGGTCACTTAATTCTGCTGAATGCTTTGGAAACCCGAACCTAAGAACTGTTTCCTCAAAACTAATTTGATCCCCCTTTTTCATACATATTTACATATCTGGGAATAAACTATGCCACATTATCCAGAGTGTCCTAGACACTGGAAAGAACACATGCAGTTCTTCTCTCTTCATATTTCCTGGAGAACACAAACATACTCTGACACCTTAGATGAGGAGAGAACTGAGTACAGATGCTGCTGACAGTGCCAACAGCCAAAAAAAAAAAAAAAAAAAAAAGTGGAACCAGAAATAAAACCTTGCATCAAGCTTCTCTTGAAGGATTACTGACACTTGCACGTGATACGTAGGTGAAAGATGAAACCCCTCTGTATTTGCTTCTTCAGAACTCTAGATGCAGTTGAATTTTCCCTGGAAAAATTCCTGTATGACATCTGCCCATCTGCTGAGCAGCCCTAGCCCTTTTACTACATGCAGTAGTAACCACAATAAGTAGCAAATGCAGTTAAAACCTCACCATTTTACTCAGACTTTCATCACCTGAATCTGAATGTTTCAATTCATTTTATGAAAATTACCACATTTGGATAATCAGAACCAGAATTAGTCTGATCTGTAAACCTATGAAACTCCATTGCAAGTACACTGTCATTTAGCAGTCATACTAAGTACATTTGAAGAGCAAGACACTGACATTTTACAGTGAAGTAACATGTTATGACACAGGAAGCAGTTTCTAAAACTAGTCATTAAGTACACGGCAAAAAAACACTTCTAATTTTTAATATTCCATGCATGTTACTAACATGATAAATGCATCATACGCTACTGATATGAGGAAGTTCTACGAATGACAAGTACTGTTACTTGAGTTACTTGTCAGTTGAGGTCCAGAGCAGTGATAGACTTGTATCTGCCAGCTTACAGAACAGGCATGAATAAAATAAAAATTGCTGATTTTGCTGTACCTCATATAAAAGCATCATTATGTCAGTTACACAATTTGTACAAAAACCTTACAAATTTATTCTTCAGCTACTGTTAGATAAAAGGCATAGACTGTCTAATTCAAATACATCACTTCTGTTACATGTTTTGGACCTTACTACCTTCTCCCTAGCCATATTCAGATTCATGACCAAAAGCAATGCAGGAGATATTCTACGCTCATATATGCACTAAGTAGAGTGAAGCTCAAAGGATCTTGTGGTGTTTGTACAAGAGCAGTGTAAAAGATTTAGTAACACGTTCTGAAAATAGTTAACACTTCCAGTTAAAAAAAATAGCAAGAAAGTTATTTGTTTTGTTATTACATATAGTGTTTATGTTCCCTCCTCATCCATAGTTGAAGAGAAGCTACTACTGGTGATTTTTTCTAAAAACAAACACTGGAAACATAGGGTTTGTAAATCCAAAGTGCTAAGCACCAATTGTTTCATTTCTTGTTAATGGCAGTTTTCCCTCTTGATTTCAAGAGGGCAGAAACTTGTCTGTTCAGAATGTATTAAAAAGTCCTGTTCATCAAGGCTAATGCTATTTATTTGGAATACCAACTCTAGATAAACGGGGAAAAATTTGTCTTACCTTGGCCTGCTGTAGCCAGGAACAAATGAAGTAAAAGGACTGCTAGAACAATTCTGAATCTCAAGAAAACGTCTTGTATTCTGCCAACACAGCAGAGCTGTTTTCCCCAGGCAACCATTCTAGAAGAGAAAATAAACTACAGTAATTAGAAAAAGTGCAGGTGTGCAGATGTTATGTCAGATTATGTTTCCAACCCAAGAGTGTTAATCTTTTCAACCCTGTTATACTGTTGGGTCTATATCATACAGAAATGCTCAAATACTCCATATTCCAAGTCACTGAGAAAGAGTGAGCTGTTTGCTGAAGGGAAAAAAACAACAAAAAAAAGCAAAACACCAAAGCCAAAAAACAACCACTCCAGCTCTATTTCTCCGAAGACTGAGAAATACCTTAGAGCATGGTCATGAGTCTTTGCACAAATACAGCTTCAACATTTGAAACACAAACAACAGAAAACCTACACACACACACACAAAAAAAAAAAAAGCAGCCAGAGAGCAAGCTTGGACAGCTTATCGAAAAGCTTTGTTAATCTCACTAAGCATACAGAAAGCATCTTCTTCAGTCCCCTACCCACAGGTTCTTTCATCTGATGTTAATACCAACACTGTGAATTCTTAAGGAAGAAGTAAGAGTTTGGTTACAGATCCTCATCTCAGTCTCAAGGAAAGAAGCTACTGAAAAAAAATGAGAAATGCCACAAGTCACTGTGGTCAACAAGGTCACGGACAGTGACATGAAAACCTGGTTTGTCCACATTTCTTCCTAGTGATGGCTGCCTAATGTGTCCAGTTGGACACGGTGGTGGAAAAAGAACCTGAATCCTACTATAAGAGATAGCGTTCTACATTATTTTTTTAAAAATAGATCTTTTACAAAGAGTACATCTGAGTATTTTGCATGCTGGAAGAAACATTAAGTGAAACATTTGTGCGATTTTTCAATGTATTATTTCTCAAATAAAAAGGTTTAGAAATACACAGTTACAAGTGATTCTGTATTTGATTCTTGAAACAACTGCAAAGCAGTAAACTTTATGTATTGTTTATTTTTAATGCATCAGCTTTATGGTAGGCCAGAGCATTGTGCATGATGCCAGAACTTTAACTTTGCCATCACAAGTTTGGTGCATATGTGAGTGCATTGGTTAGCACTCGCACTGCTTGCAGACTTCACTGTAGTTTTGGACATCCTCTATCAGGCTGCAATACCTTCCCTTTCTTTTCAGGGACTGTAAATTGTGAACTCTTTTGAGTTGTAAATTTGTGTTAATGTTAGGGCTAAAATGCACTTTTTGCAAACATTCACGTTAGCATCAATATTTATTAGCATAAACTGGTTATTGTGGGCTGACCTCTCCAAGGGAAGAGCTAGAAGAATAAAATGAGAAACAGCAAAGTTGCTAGGTAATGGACATTTTGGAAAATGATTAAATGTACATGCAAATAAATTATATACATATAATAATGTAAGGTAGAAAATATAAACCAAAGGCTTTTTTTAAAATTACAGTATTGAAACACTGTTGCCAGACAGTGCTTTCAATAATTCCATAGTAGGTGATATTTCTAGGAGAAAAATAAGATCATACTGATTGCATTGGAACAGACCCATCTGGATGATGACAAACACTGCTTCCGCTTTGCAGATTCTGAATGCTACACTTAAAAGATTAAATAAGTTAAGGAAATTACAGTCAAATCACAGCAACAACAGAATGACATCTGCATGGATGCCGTAGATGTTATGGAAGAAGAAAGGCCACTGCTAAAAGGAATACAAAAATCAAGCATACGCAAGCTGAGAGAAAATAAGCGGCATGCTAAAACAATGGGCATAGCTAATAGATGTAATCCTATGTCAGAACAGACCAAAACCAAACAAAAATAAGTATGTCAACTGTCAAAGGCAGGTTGGTTTTCTAAAGATTCACAGGAAACATAGCCAAACTTGTCTTCAGCTTGCTTCTCTTGAATACCTAAAAATAATGTATTAATAAAATTGCTACCAGCAAACCAAGCAGCAGAATTACAGTAATTACCGTAAGAACCAGACAATAGAAACTGTTATGCTTAAATATACTGGACAGCATCAAGGATTGCACATCTACGATGTAATTTACTAGAGTTAATCTAGATGGCCATCCAAAAGCTGTGTTTCCATTCTTTGCTTACACTTCATAAATTAGTTCCCTTCCAAACAAAACCAAGCTGCACATCTATTCCTCCATTTATGGGGAAATCTCTTTTCTACAATAACCCTCTATCCATAGTGTCTTATTTAGACAATAAATCAAACACAAATTCAAGTATCTCTTGCCTCTACCACTTAGACATCGAGAGTTGAAATGCACATGGGATGAAGCACAAAAGTACTCAGTGGCTCCAAGTTTAGCCATCGATGCTGGTTAGTCCTGAAGGAAACTGCTTGCTCTGTGTCACGTGCGGTACTGATTCAGAGCGCTCCTGCGTTCTGTATTTAGTTTCCCCCTTAAGCCTCAGTTCTGCAAAGACGTGCACACGAAATACGTAACTAGCCACAGGACAAGAGGAAATGGGGTTAAGTTACACCAAGGGAGGTTTAGGGTGGATATTAGGAAGAATTTCTTTACTTTAAGAGTGGTAAGGCATTGGAACAGACTGCCCAGGGAAGTGGTGGAGTCACCAACCCTGGAGGTGTTCAAAAAACATGTGGACATAGTACTTCAGGACACGGTTTAGTGGTCATGGTAGTGTTGATGTCTGGACTTGATGATCTTTGAAGTCTTTTCCAACCTTACCTATTCTATGATTTTATTAAATGCGCTATGACAAAGGTTTACTCCTTTATCATCAAGTGTGTCTTTTATTCTGTATGGTAAATGTCATTAAACAATAACACGAGACCCCCATCCACCAGAAACAACTGCATTCCAGGAGTCTAAATTTGAAGGCAAGAGCCAAAAAACTCCTAGTTCTGACTCCAGCTCTGCCTAAGTGCTATGCAGCCCCAAGGAGCTTGAACAGACGTTCCTCTAACTCAGGCCTTCCAGTGCAAGCTTCGCTAATATTTGTCCATGTTTAAGTGAAAGGCTGTAATAAGTACTTACAGCACATTTAGGTTTTTTTACGTTGTTCTCACTTCCTTTGGTGGGCCCAACGAAGGGACCCTTGGAAAAGGGGGACAGAGGCACAGCTTCTTGTTGACAGAATACAGTCATTTCAAGAACTCTTGAAGTTATTCAAAGGTATGAATGCACATTAAGAGTCCCAGGGACAGCAGTAAAATCCAGATAGTAGGAAAGTAAGTAAATGTATAAAGCAAAGTCCTGACATGGTCACAGCTCAGCTGACTTTTTGCAAGATTTTTGACATTTCTGTTAGCTCAAGATTCGTTCCACCATCCAGGTAAAAAAATACAACTAAAAGAGTGAGGAAAAGATCATTAGTGTTTTTTCCTGCTCACAACAATTCTGTTTAGACATGATCAAAGAAAAATTTGCTGCTACCTTTGAGAGATTTTTTTAGACTCTTTAAAGAAAAAGCAAGTTGTAAAACATTATTTCAGCATAACTATTGAACATTTCATATCATCTTAATAATTTGAAAGTGAAACCAAAATTGATAGTTTTCTTCAAACAAATGAACAAACAGACTTTGAGAAATTAGATGGCTGGTTTGTATGTTTTGGGATATGTTGCAGTTCTGCATTAATATTGCATTCTCTTGAAATGAAAGAGGTTACTGGAAACAAAAGCAGAAAGATGGTATAAAAAGGAGTCTGTATTCTTATCATTAGCATTAATTAGCTTATGTCATGCTATTTTACTAATTTTTTTTATGGAATTGTCCTTCAACACAATGGGAGTTTTACTTGCCTACAAAGCACAGAGTTTCTGCAGAAGTTACTGAAATCTAACCAGTTGACCAAGACAAACACTGTAACAACCTGTTGCAGAAAGATGGGCAGAACAGAAGGCTGAAGGTCAGTAAGCCAACAGCAACTTCCAAGAGCAGGCAAAAAAAAAACTTAAAACCAAGGCCTGTGAGGCTTTTACTATGTTTACTCTGCTGTAGCTGGCTTTGTACCTCTGAAAGACCAGCACCATTATTTACAAGTTGATGTTTTTAAAGCCCTCCAGCTAGCTAGTCTGTCAAAGGCATCCACAGTGAAATGACTTTGAGGTGTCCCAGGAAACTGGGCTTGTGTTACAAATGCAACTGGAAGGCAGAGGATATGGAGACTGTTCCACTCCTGGGGACTGCATGGTGCAGCTCCACTCAAAGTGCAGTGCGAGAAACCTGGACTGCTCTCCCAACTGTGCACCCACAGGTCACTTACCAAGAGCTACAGAACAAGCTCCTGCTTGCCTTGTATTGCAGCAGATATATTTTCAATAGGCTTAAAGCCAAATAAAATGCAAAACATAAACACAGCTGTTCTGTAGTGTACTTTATTAATTTACTTTTTGAAAAATACATTCAAATTTTACAATTCCTGTTGGATTTATCTACTGGCAGCCTTTCAAATTTAAAAAATTATTAGTTCTTTTATGCCAAGGTTTAGGCGGACCAGGTTCTCACTGCCAATGCATAAACTGTTGGTAATAGAAACTTAAGCTGTAAATCATAACCAGAAGCAATCCATAATCGACTTCTAACCATGCTGTCTCTACTGCTGCACTTCAAGATGTTTTGTTCAAGTCACACTTATTTTATCCACTAAGGTAAAGTCATTTTATTTTATCCTTTAGGGTTCATTCTGTCTACATTTGTAGTTATCCCCTGTTAAAATCCTGGATTTAAATACAAGTATTTCTCACAAACTTACAGAATTTGCTGAGGAGGAGGAGAGTAGTAACAAATGGTGAGCTTCTGGCTGTTCCACTGTGACAGTCTGCATTATTCAAATCTATACCAGGTGATAAAAGGCAGAAAAGAGCAAAAGAAACATCATACTGCCCAGGTACGAGAACTTCTTGATGCCTTTAATTACTTTCAGAAAGATAAGACTGTAGACTTCTTCCATGAACTCCTTACATTTTCCAGCCTGGAACCAAAGTGTAGTAAAGTTTTTATGTTATTTTTAAATTTTGGCTGAAGCAAGTTAGATGTAATAGGGAGGACGCTTATGTTGGAA